ATGATAATAATCTAGATAGATAACTATGAATCAGATCTCAACAGCAAGATCTTACCATTCAACGATTCCCCGGTCGGCGACTCCCAGGTTGGTTGATGTCAACCTCACTAGACAAAGCCATCCCTGATCTGGCATATTTGAGATTTGAGTACCTCAAATCATGCACGTAACTGCCTCCTCTAGGCATGTTGCCCCTGCTAAAACATCTTGACATCACCGGCGGTGAAGCCATCAAAACCATTGGGCCTGAGTTTCTGGGCCGCAAGTTCCCTGGAGCTTCCGCATTTCCAAAATTGAAATATCTGGAGTTTCACGAAATGCCCAACTGGGAAGAATGGTCAGTATGGGGGATGGAAGAAAATGGTCAGGGACCGCACCTCAAGCTCTTTCCTAATCTAAAGACGTTCAAGATGATAGACTGTCCCAAACTGAGAGCTCTACCAGAAGGCCTATCCCATGCTACCAATTTGAAGGAATTGTATCTCGAGAGAACTCAAGACTTGAGAGAAATCACAAACCTCCGCTTGAATTACAAGCTCGAGGTCAAAGATAACACGATGCTGAATAGAATATCCGACCTTTCCATGAAGTATCTGAAGGTGGAAGATTGTCCGAATCTGGAGTACGTGGAGAATCTCGACAGGTTGCAACAGCTGGTCCTGATATGTCCACGACAAATGAAGCAACTTCCGCAGTGGCTATCAACCCTAATTCAGCAGCGCCAAAGCATTCCTTCCACTCAGTGGAGCTTCAGAAAACTGGAACTGCAATGCAACAAGGTGTTGCTGAAGAGCTGTCTCAAGGGCAACGGGAATTGGCATAACATTCAACAGATTCCAGATGTCATAATTCAAACCTATTCCAGGAAAAAGTATATTCGATATAGCAAGCATCCACCCATGTACGATGCAAAAGTATGATGAATTCGTCATTCCGGTAAGTTCATTATCCATTTTCTTTTCTATCTATCCCATGACTGTATATACATATATGTGTATTTGTTTTCATGTACGTTGACTTTCTCCTTTCGTACAGGATCAATAAAAGGCCTCTGCCCGGTTATTCTACTTATAGATTTATTGTGAATAAAGAAGCTATTTGGAGCAGGGATTCGATGATGTTGTCCTACTATCAAGACTGTATGCTTGTTTGTTTCCTTCTACGTTACTTACTTGTGTATTTGCACCTACGCAATAATTTATCTTTCCAAAAGAATTTAGAACAAATGATGTGGTCATGTAAATAGTATGAAGGCGTTGTCCATAGGCAGTAGCTCAGCATGAAGATGTTGTCACTGATCCATATACGGAGATGGCACAGGGAGATGATTGACAAGAATCTACGGACAAATTTTCGTGCCTCATCGCAAGTACATTATTCTTCCCTTTTCTCTTGTTGGTTGCTTTTAGCTGCTTATATTTTTAGGTTTTATTACTACATAAAGTTCTCGATGTCTCTCTTCTTCAAATGCTTCCTTTGGCAGGTTATAAAGGGCTGAATCCAAAGCTAGGTTCTCGTTCAACGTGAAGGCTGCATCCTCTTCGAGGCAAAAAAGTAATCCAAAAGACATCTAATTGGTCATTGTGGCTACAACTTCACAGCATTCTTCACTGTCTGTTCTTCCATCTTTGTGGAGCCTCCCGGTCATATATGGGGAATTATTTGCATGCATGAAGACTTTAGCAGGACGGTGCGAGAGAGCCCGTGTGTATACAGAAGATGGAGCTACATTGGATGTTGCATGACCTCTAGTTTGATGTGTGTTCAGATTGTTCCTTGTTATATTTGATCAGAATAATATATTTTATTAGAAGCTTTTGCATCGTCGCCTCTTACGACTGTCGTTGACAAGTTCGAGAGAATGAGTACTGCTTGTACGAGTTTGTGTCCATTGTGTAACAACGTGGGTGTATTATTTATTTATTATTTATATTTAATATTTATTATTTATATTTAATATATATAATTTTTTAAAATATAAATGATGAAAATAACGTGGGTATATTGGACCCATTAATCTATACCGATCTATGGCTATGAATTATTGATTCGGATGAACGATAACATCTGCTCATGTCGAATCATTCGCATATAAAAGCTAATACTCACATCATCTGATGTGGGTCTAAAGATGAAAATTTATTTATTATTTATATTTAATATTTTTAAAAAAATAAATGATGAAGCTAGAAATCAAATTCATAATCTTATAGTAAACTATTAAAGTGATATATTTAATAACTTAATT